CAGCCTCTCTCCGCTTCAGTTTCCTCTCCTGCGTAAAGGAAGACAATAATAATGAGATGAACTTTATTGGGTAGTGGTGATGATTAAGTCAAATGAATGATTTAATGAATGTATGCAAATTAGAACTGTCTAGTACTTGATGCCTAATACATTTTAGCTTCTATTATAAAAATAGAAGAGTGTCTAATATGAGACAATGTGTCATATATAAGTAACCCCAAATTGTTTGATTTTAGAAGGCTTTCTCTCTACTTCCAGAAACAGCTGAGAGGATGTTTCAAGCTTAGCATTCCATTTCAGAAGTCAGCTCCAGCTGGACAGTGGAGTCCAGTGGTGACTTTGGAAGCCTCAGCCCTCCCACTGTGAGGTCCAGGCAGAGCTGGGGCCGAGGCTTGGTGCACTGTGCCAAGAGCTGAGTGCCTGCCGCCTTACAAGGCAGGGACGTGTCTGTGCCCAGGGCAGCTGCCCCTCGCTCGCAGCTTCCCTCCTATGACCAGCTTATGTCTGTTACCCCTGAGGCCCTCAGCAGGAATTCCAGGGCTTCCTGGGACCTGTCAGCTGATGTAGAGGCTGAAAAAGAACAACTCCAAGGGCAGACGAAGTAGGACAGTATGACTGATGGACTTGAGAAGAATCTAGACCACTAGTGGGGCAGACTGGGTGGAAGAGGGTAAGAGTCTGGAATTATCTTAGGGTTTTGGTTTTTTTTTCAAAGTAACTTGATGCTTTTCAGTTGCTTATTTTAAAAAATCATCTGGGTTGTCTGAGGGATGCCCTGCTCAGCTGCTTGGGAGACTGGCTCTGTCAGAGGAAAATGGCCAAACCCAGTGCTGGTCACAGCATGGTCCTCGAGCTATTTCCAGTTAGACAACTGTTTGTTACCCGTCTATGACAACATAAAGTCAGAAGCTGCCAGTTAGGTGTTTAGAAAGTTTAATAACAATCTGACATCACCATGACAACCAATTGGGCAATCAGTGGACCGGCCTCATTAAAGAGACCAGTTTGGGTGTGGTCACACATCCAGTGGTGAGTTACTTGTGTCGTGAGACAAGTACTAGTACAACTACTAGTACAAGACAAGTACTAGTCTGCTGGGAGTTGAATAAACCCCAGTCCTTCCCATAGAGAGCTTGAGAAGCATACTGCAAAGCCAAATGCCTACGTGTTTAAATATCATTATTGCCAGCTCTTGCACCATTCAGCTTTAGATCTAGAAGAAACAACGTGGAGAGTCCTCCAGGGGTATCCAACCTTTTGGCATCACTGGGCCATACTGCAAGAAGAGTTGTCTTGGGCCACGCGTTAAATATACCAACACCAACGAAAGCTGATGAGCAAAAAAAAGGTTTTAGGTAAATGTATGATTTTATGTTGGGCTGCATTTGTAGCCATCCTGGGCTGCATGCGGCCCGAGGGCCATGGGTTGGACACCCCTTCTTCAACTAAGCCCCTCCCACACTTCTCACCTTAAAGGTGAAGAACCCAGGGCTGGGACAGACCATGGAGCTCTTGGAATGAGCCAGCCAGTGATCTTCCTGGAACTAAACCCAGGTCTCCGGTGCTCTTCTGGAGCGGCCGTTCTTTTCTTGTAGCTAATGCAAAAGCAATTTCAGCCCCCGACAAGGAGTCACACACTCCAAATGAGTGCCCGAGGATGATACTGTTTCCTTGGGAACAGATGTTTCATAAACAACCCTGGTCTGACATATGGGGTACTCTGCCGTTGCTGGGGTCTTTCGCTCTGCTCAGCCAAGGGCAGGACTCTTTAGGACACTGATATGTTAACATTAGCTACCCACATACACACACACAAATAGCTTGGTTTTGATCTTGAGAAAATCAGTGAATGTCCCAGCTGAATCTGTAAATAGGACCAAGAATAAGATTGCTCTCCCTGGGGACATGCTAAGAATTTTTATCAGGTGACAAAAGGAAGCCCAGAGGAATGTCTCAGTCTGGGAAAGCAGAAGTAAAACTTGGCTCTCCACTCTGTAGGACTCTCCATGGTGAAAAGTCATCCAAGAGTGACTGGTTTGTTCAGCCCTCCGCGCTCAGGTAGGACTACACTTACGGCATTTCCGAGTGATGCACATTTCTCCGGATTGTAAGAAAGGGAGGGAGAGTCTACAGTTGAGTGGCCTTTCCATGGCCAGCACTGTCGTGCCCAGGACAGTGTTCATGGGGTCAGGCAGGGAGGAAGCACGGCTTTGTCAGGGCACAGTCCCTACTGGTGGAAAGTCAGAGGGTCACCCTCGTATCTCAAGGATGGCGGCATTTATATCCTGAGCGTGTCCTGTGTCTAGGGTAGTCATGCAGCTCTGATGAAGAACATGGTGAAGATGCTTCTCTGACTTCTCTTCAAATGATATAATTTTTGATGTAATTCACTGGCTTTCACATGTCTTAATGAGGATTTTCCCCAGCCCGCTAGGCTTCACTTAGTAATTAGCCCTAAGGACTTTTTGCCACTCCTTAGATCTGAATCCAATGCTAGATACAGAATTCTAGCAACAGGAGATGTGGGTTTTCGACAAGGCTTAAATAGTCACCACTCAACCTTTCAGCAGGGTGGGCTGTTGCCAACCTGGCACCCGCCGTGGGCAGTGGGGTGGTGTAGGGCCAAGAGCCAGCGTGCTCACTGGATTCGACTCTTTAACTTTTTTAAAACCAATATAGAGATTAAAAATTGAAATTTTTGATAAAAACAAGACAATACTTTGTGAAGATCCTGGTTATGGGTGGCTGACTTTGGGTCACCCCCTTGTTATAAAATGTTCTTCCCATCCTCAGACAAACTGCACTGACTCCATCCCCCTTCCTCACTCACCGTCCTCCGTGCCCAGCATTTCTGCCTCCTCACCTCCCGTTCACGCTCCTGTGTGCCCTCTGACCCTGCGCTTGCCAAGTCACCAGTGACCATTTAGCGGCTAAGTGCCTAAGTGCGGCAGAGACATTTTAATCCTCACCTGAGCCGACTGTTAGCAGAAGCCGAGACCGCTGAACACTCCCTCTGTCCTGACAGATCGCCCCTCCCTGGTTGACTTGACATGAGAATAGCCTTGACCTTCCAACTTCTCTCCCTCCTTCCATCCTTGAAATGTTCGTTCTTTGGGATTCTTATGTTCGTGCTCGTGTTCCTTCTTACACTCTCTCGGAGTGATAGTATCTGTTCTCTTAGCTTCTGAAATGCAAACATAATTTTGTCCCTGTTTTTTCTTCAGAGCCACCCATATATCCAATGGCCTCCCGGCTATAGCTATTTGGATCTCTCCCAAATGCCTAAAACGCAACATGTCAAAAATTGAACTCACTACTTTCTCTGATTTAGTCCCCCTCTTTGGTTCTTCATGTCATTGAAGAGCCTCCCTGTGCGCCCAGGTGCCCAAGTCTGAAACCAGGGCATCATTCTTGATGCCGCTCCCCTTTTCAACCGCTTTTCTGTTCAGTAAGTATATGTCACAAGTACTTCTAGAATCCTTCCACTCTTTTCCATTCCCACTGCCACGACACTAGTCCAGAGTGTCACTGTCTTTCCTGTGGGCTGTGCAACAGTCTCTTACCCAGTCTCCCTTCCTCTAGCATTGTGTCCTTCTAGCCCAAACTCTACCGGCCACCAGAAATATCTCTCAAAATTTACATCTCTTGATGTCACTCTTCAGCTTGAAAACCCTTACCCATTCCCCTTCGACTATAGATAAAGTCCAAACTCCCCATATGGCTTAGAGAGCCACTTATAGGACCTCTCTTGCTTCTCTGGCCTTCTCTCCCATGATCGCCTCCTCCTCCCATCGCTGGCCACCCCAGTCACTCCCTGCAGTTCCCTGGAGGTATCATGTTCTCTGTGTCACGTTCTTTGTACAACCTGTCCCATCTGCCAGGAACACTCTTCACCTCCTCTTTACTTGGCTAACTCCCACCGATCCATCACACCTCAGTTCAAACACCCCAAACCCTGAACACTGACTTAACATCCCCCCCCCCTGCTCATTTTTAGCCCAGAACTTGCTGTATTATAGCACACAGGAAGCTGTTTTCTCTCTGTGTCCTCCCCCAGCCTCCGCATCCTGGAGGCCAAGAGAGTATGGGGTTCACTTCTGTGTTTCCAGATCCTACCACACTGTTCGGCACGAAAGGCTTTTATATGTATTTGCTGGGAGGAGGAAGAAAAGAAAGAAGGTAGCACAGGTGACACACCCTTTGGGTGTAAGTGTAAGATTTCTCTCTGCACAGGCATTTCCAGCTGAAAGGTGAGCCTTTGTCTCCATTCATTTGTTGACATGTAATCATGACATGAACTAATGGAAGGAAATTATTCTCTTGGCACTGCTTTTATTTACCTAGAAGTACGGACAAGTGCTGCTAGGAACAAACATTCATGCTCTCAACTCATTGCTCTGAAGTGGTTGATATAATATTCATTTGGAACAAGATTCTTAAAGAGATACTCATTGAGCATTGTGCATAGCAGTGGGCAAGGTGTGGGGGTTACAGAAAAGGGGTCGGAGTCTTCTCCCTGCCCTTATGGATCCAACCGTCTAGGTTGCTGATGGATGGAATAGCACTTGACAGGTGCTGAGAGATGCCCTACCTGTTCTCGAGATGGCAGAAGTTCATAGAGAGGAATGATCATTGAGGACCTGAGGATTGGACTTTTACCCCAGTGGGATTTGGCCAAGATTAATCTTTCTAAAATGTATTTATGCATTCAATAAAATGCTTATGGTGGAGACCGTGAGCTAGGTTAAAGATACAGACATCAAAATAACACAATCACTACACTCAAGACATCTATAATCCACTCAGTTATAATGGGAGACAACTCTTCTGAGTTCTGTAACTTTAGGTATTCAGAGATCTCCTGAAATTTCTAGACTTATGTTTTTATTGTTCGTGATTCTCATCATTTGATATTAGAAGATCCCCTTCCGAGAATTATTTCTTACACCGAGAGAGAGTTAACTTTGACCTCAGACAGCACATCATGGTCCCAATTCAGAACTTTAATAACTGAATCTTTTAAAACAGTGATGGTTCCACTTCTAAAAAATATAAGATACTAGGTCAAGTTTAATACGCCCCAGTGAATTACAAGGAGAGTCTAGGCTCATGGGAAATGCACGGTGAAAGCCGTGTTGGGATGTGAGCCGCATGGCTGTCCCTGAGAGGGAGCCAGTGCACATGGATGCCATCAGATAGAACCAGACTGGAAAACGGGGGCCCTTCCTTCCCCCCAGTGAGGGCTTGGCCCCTTCAGCTTCAAATCGGATCCCCATGCTAGCGCTAGACATTTCTGACCGGATGATACAATCGTTAGGAGACTGTGGCCACACGCACGCTGGAATGGAACTACACTGGCACTGTCAGCTGGTCGTCATGGACGCCCCATCTTGACCAAGGTCATTTGGCTCCTCACGGCTCAGCTGCCTGCTGTAAACAGCTGAAGGGGCCTGGCTCCATTTGGACGTTGTCACTGTCTGGTATGTTGTCTCTGCCAGGGAAAGGAGGGAAAGCATGAGAAACAGGGAGGTCAGTAAACAGTTGATGCCGCGCTCATGGAGTCACTTTCTTCATCAGGAGCAATGGGCCAGATGTGGGATGGTCCTTCTGCATAGGACCTGCAGCCTCTTTGAAGACAGAATGATCACAGACTTAACTGTAGAAGCAGCTCTGGAGAAATGACCAGAATAGCAGTTTGCAACTAGATCATAGAGAGCTTTGAATGCCAAGCTGAGGGACTTAGAATTTATCCTAGAGGCCAGGGAGCATGACTAAAAGTTTCAGAGTAGGGGAGTTGCAGTAAGCCCAGGGATGACATTAGGGTGCTGGTTCAATGCCCCATAGGGAGAAAGCAGGAAATAGAGAAGTCAGGAGTAGACTGGAAGCCACCTGAGCAGGTGGCCAGTTTAAGTTGAAGTCGGCAGGGTGGAAAAAGGTGCTCTGCCAACAGAGGGTGGTGGATCAGGACACTAGAGAGCAAATAAGACAGATAACTCAACAATCCCAAGATCCAGCCTGGGCCAGAGAAAGCTTCAGGCGGAAGTTGTCCAGGGCTCTGGATAGCTCCCAGGGAGGGGTATTGCTGCACCGTGAAAAAAACCTGCCAGCCTTGGAGTGAGTTCTAGACCTGCTCATCTGTGTCTTTGTTGTTGTTTTTAAAATTCCAGCAGTATCTTGGGCCTGAATAGAGTCCTTCTATGAATGGGTGTCCTTCCTCCTCCAGGGTTCTGAAAGGCTGAGCAGGGACTTATAAGAGATGCAATGAAAATGTTACGTTCTTTGTCATCACCCCGCCTTGGTCTGAAATCTCAGCTCTGCCCCTCATTAACTGCACGGGCCCTTGGGCAAGCCGTGTAATCCATCTGTGAAGTGGACTTAACAGTATGTATCCCCTTTGGCTGTTGTGAGGCTTAACTTAGTTAATATATGGAAAGCATCTAAGCAATGCCTGGCACACAATGGGTTCCCTGCCTGTCAGCATCCTTTTGTCTTTCTCTCCCTGCAGCGGCAGAGAGCTTGTCTTCTGTGGATTTGTTTCTCTCCAGCCAGAGGCAGAGCCTCCATGGGAGGAGGAGATTGGAATAGTAACATCCTTTCATTATGAAGTCAATTCAACCGTCCCTCAGTTTACACAGCACTGGGTCCCTAAAAGGCTGTATAGGAAACCATCATTTTAATGCAGTAAAGTAGCTGGACACCCTGGTAAGCCCTGCCTGTAGGCAGGTGAGATATGTTTTCATGGAAATCTTTTATGTGTGCTGATTCTGTCGAGTTGAGTTCATTTAAAGGTGGAGGACAGTTACGAGCTTATTTAGCTGCACAGCTACTCCTTAGTTAGCCCTCAGAGTAGAAGTACCCATGGCCTCATAGCAGGGCCTGCCTTTCCCCAGACATAATGCCCTTGGCCCTGACCAGACTTGGAAATCCAAGGATGCATGTGACTGATTCACTCTGGGGGGATCTCTCTGTTCAAAAGGGAACACAGCTATCCCCTCACCCTGGCCCAGATGAGAGGAGAACATGGCAGAACAAACCACACACATGAGTGCAAGCCCCTGCTCAGTCTCACAGACGCCCAGGGTCTGCTTTGGGCTGGGGTTCCTGAAATGACAAAGGCCCAGCCTCTGCACTTGGAACCTCACAGTCTTCATGAACCTCTTCTTGTGCTTGACCTTGTGAGCCAAAGGTCACTCCTGGCCCTTGTTATTGGGTTTCTTAATGGAAGGACCAGGGACACACACACATGCTGGAGAAGTGTGCAGAGCCAGGCTCAGGGAGGGAGGGAGGCTTTGCAGCAGCATGTCCTGCAGAGCCTCTGCTACTTTGCAGAAGCTAGAAGAGCCTCGGGTTTTGGGGTCCGTGTCAGTCCAGTAACTGACCTTCAGTGGTAGGGTGGACATGTGTGTTGGGAGGAGCTGGCCATACTGAACCACAGGACCACTGGTTGCGTTGTTCATAATTGACCTTTTGGGACACCTATTTAATCCATTGATAATATCTTATATCATGTGGCTCCTATAAAAGCAATGGTCTCAAGGAAGATGGTACCAATACTCCCAGCCATTGCTTCCTGAAGCCTCCAACCTCTGGATCTTCTCATTCAGTTTCTCTCCCTGTTGTAGAGCATGCAACAGGTTAGGTTCACAGGTTACATGGCTCGGCTGGAGATTTCTGCAGCCAGCACTAGGCACACGTGCACCGTCACAAGAACACAGGACAAAGCATTCAGAGTTAGGCACATTTTAACCTTTATATACTGAGCTTTCTCTGCTGAAATAACCACATGGGATTTGCAGAATGACAGCAGGTTCCTCCCAGGTGCTTCACCTAAATCCTCAGACAGACCGCCCCAGTTGGTGGAATATGACTGTACCTGCCACTAGGTGGCCCCCCGCGTGCGCATAAGCCTCTTCCACATTGAGAACTGGAATTCGACTTTCTGGATTTCCTTTCCCTGTGCACACGCACACTCTTCCATCATTCTTGAAGCCGATAATCAATTCTTTAATTTTCCTTTTAGCATTTAAATGATAGGGCTTATTTAAATTTGTGGGTAATTTGTTTAACATAAAAATCTGTGGGTGTTCCTTAAATTTTATGGGCCACAAACCATATGATTGATTAAGAAGCTGAATTTGAATTTATTCTATCAAAAGGTATGTTTTGGTTTGTCTTGTAAAGTACTACATGTGGCGTTTAACAGGATTGCCTTTATATTCCTTTTTTTTCCTAAAAAAAACACTAGAAGAGAAAGGAAGAACAAACATTTTGAATAGTATTTATGCCACAGCAGGCAGTGTTATGAGAGATTTTAAATATTGACTCAATCTCCATAGCTTTGAATTAGTTCTTCCATATACGTCCTTACAACCATCCTATAGGCAAGGAAACAGACTAAGAAAAGCGAGGAGTTCACGCAGGATTTCAGCCAGGAAGCCGCGGGCCACCATACCTCCTGGTCCCGGCTGGTCTGCGCTGCCTCCTGCCGCCTGCCTCTGGTCTAAACAACTCGGAGAGGCTCAGCAGAAACCAGACTGCGTGCGTCAGGAAAGGTGACTGGATTCTGACTTCTCTTTTTCCCTTTCTCTCAGTGTTCTTATCTGCAATATAAGAAACAACAACAACAAAAAAAACAACCCTAATTGCTGTGAAGGACTTTGTGAGCTCTAAAGCATGACACAAGTGCCTGCTATTCTCATTATTGGGATCATTTGGGTTTTGTGGGAATATGGGAACTCTCGTATCATATATGCCCCAGGAGGCTTGTGATCCTTCCTTCACTCTTCACACAAAAGCACAGGATGCCTCTGAGTGAGACCTCCCATTCTGAGGCGCCTGCGCTGTTTTAGCAGCAGACCTGGTCTGCCCTGAACTCCCTGTTGCGGTGGAGCGTTGCAACGAGGTTTCCTTGTGCTCTCAGCAGGTCCTCCTCCCTTAGCCTCGGGATCCAGAAATAATAGACAGCGGTGGGACAACTCTGGGGTGGGACCACAGCTGAACAGGGCGACGGCCACACCAATTCTGCACAAGCCAAACCACCAAGAAGAGGTGGATCTCTTTTAGGGATTGTTATTTTGGAACACAGTGTACTACTATTTCTGTATCCCAGAGTTCCCATTTCTAAATGGCCAATCTGATCGTGTCTTCGAGAGAGGTGCTCAGTTAAAAGCATAAGTAGTCTCTGGATGAACTGTGAAGGAGATTCTTGTCTGTGTCTGATGGGAGCCACTATTGCCTTGCTCCTGATCGCCTCTAATTTGGCTTAATTTCTGGCCCAGGCTCTGATCCCTACATCTGAATCATTTTGTATCTGAGGGCTCTTATTGGTAGGCTCTTTGCATAAGGAAAATGCTATTTTCCTTCTGGATTTGAAAACCCCAGGAATAGTCATCATTCTTGTTCGACTTCTCAAAACACTAAGCTGTTGTAAAACAGAATCGGTGTTGGTAAGTCTATAAAGTTCATCAGAGAGAACCTTTGTAACTTTACCTTTAGCTCCTAAAGTTTTGGCCTCAAATGCCCATAATTAATGTAGTGAGGGTCACTTTTTCACCCTCTGCAGGGCCTCACTCACAGTAGGACATTGGCTCACTCAGCTGCCTTAAGCCTGGTTTCCCGGAGCTCAGGGCAGGGGGGCTCAAATTCCAAGGCCATTCTGTCCCTCCCTGGCCAGCCTCCAGGCCACCAGGGGCAGGCATGAGCCAAGAGCCGGGGGGATGGAGCTTCTGCCTCAAAGCCGTGCACCATTGAAGAGGCCCTCACCAGGCCTTCTTGCCGACATGTTAAAGATCGAATGTCTCTATTGTACAGTAACAGAGAAAAATGACAGGGAGAGGCCAGAGACTCCTGAGAACGTGCCAAGGAGAAACCAACAGTACAGGCCCACTTGGCGCCGACAAGCCATGCAGGACCTCGAGGAGGACACAGGGTTCGGTGTGGACTCAGCCCCTGACTGTGAGCGAGAGGTGAAAACGCAGCGTTAGCCCAGACCCCTCCACGATCCCTTCACAGATTTCTCCAAGGCCCTTCCTGCCGCATCCACGTGAGGGCAGCGACAGAGCTCGCAAGGCTAAGGGCTCCTTTTCCTTGTTGAAACTCGCGGATCTGAGATCATTTCAATCCTTGAAACACTTTGCATTAGGGCCTCAATGTTCACTTTCATGTCCTGGCCAACACTGGACCCTGGACCAGCAGTTTTCAACCTCTTTTATCTCATGACACACACAAACTAATTACTAAAATGCTGCAGCACAGCACCCAAGTATATTTTTTGCCGATCTGACAAAAAATAGGTATACTTTTGATTCATTCGCACTGGATGGCTATTTTGTGTTGGCTGTTGTCATTTTTTTTAGTTAACAGTCTAGGAGAAAAGAGGGCAGCGCCCCCAGTGAAATAGTCAGATATTGCATGTTTTAAAATTTCTTGTAGCAGCAGTGTGTTGTGGCACAGCGATTGAAAACTGTTTCCCTAGGTCTCCAAAGGGAGCAGAAATGGCTGGCTTCAGCCGTGTTTCGTCCCTTTTTCTAGGAAACAGAGCCCTCGGGTGCCTCTGCAAACTGGGCAGTCACAGGGAAGTGGTCCAGAGAGAGGTGGGCAGGAGGAAAAGCTGAAGGTCTCACGGACCCCGTACTGATTGTAGCCACCAGGCCAGCTCAGTCCACTTTTGCTTATGGATTCACAATTTCATGTTGCCCTTTTTTTCCCCCTCAGTCCAGCCTGTGGGACCACAGCAGCACAAAAGGATTGACTTAGAAAGTCCTCTACGTCATCACAACATAAAAATCAATAAATAGAGCCTTCTTTTTTTGCTTCCCACAAAATAGGCCACACTGAGCACAGCCTCCTCACCTCTTGCCTCCACAGCTGCAACTGATCTTCACACTTCTGTTCTGCACCCCTTTCACACATCTGCATTATTCTCCACACAGCTGCCAGTGCAGTCTTTCTAGAAGAGAGCCAATCTAATCACTCCCTTCAAACAAACAGACAGACAGACAGACAGACAGACAGACAGACAAGAAACTTTGATGCTTTCCTGTTGCCTTCAGGACCCAACCTAAACTTACTGTGTCATTTAAGAGCCATCACACCCTGGGCCCCCCACTCCCCATTACTCCCTTCCCGTTATTCGCACACAGAACAGTCCAGTCCTGCACAGGTCCTCACTCACCCCCTTGAATCTCCTTGCACATTTCGGCCTCAGAGCCCTTTTAGAAGGCCCCCAAGCCCCTCTCTGCCTTGCTGCTCTTTTTCTCAGCCTTCAAGATCCTACTGAAATGTCCCAAGCCCGTAAAGCCCTGCCCTGCTCCCTCCCGGAGCAGAGTTACTCAAGCTCCGGTCTTTGCATTCCCACAGCATTTTGGACTTGCAGTCTGAGTTCTACTGAGCACTGTTTGGTAATTGTTTATACACCTGCTTTCTCCATCCGATGATGACTTTCCCAAGAGTAGAGACTGGGCAACTGTCACTGTATTAGCTCAGCACATGCTTGATAAGCAGTTAATGTATGATCCAGAATATTTGAAACCTCTCTTCCAAGGCCCAAGAGACCCAAATGCTGTGGTTCCCGCTCTAGCCATCTGGGCCAGGACGCACCCCTTCATTTCATTTCAGGCCCGATTCTGCCAGCCAGGCGCCAGGTCTGTGAGCCTAGTGTACCTTGACCCAAAGCCCAGATGGTAGCCCTGGGCTCCTGAGGGGAAGGGGCAGGGCTTGGTAGCTGCTGCGCCTTTGAGAACACAAGGGGGAACAATAGCAGGAAGCGTTGGAGCGGGAAACAATCAGCGGGCACCGCCCATGTGGAGGAGCTTCCTGATTGGCTTGATTTGCTGGGAGCAGGAACTCTTAGAATAACTTTGGGATTATCCCAGTGGGATGACACATTTCTCCACCAAGGAGGAGCTGTCCTCTGGTCATGCTGTGTGTGGAAAACATGATTAGTAAAAAAAAAAAGAACCTAAGAGGAAATTCCCTTTAGGAAGATGCGTTTGGATTACCAAGCCTCCTAGCCCCTGCACAGGCTCCCCAAGCCAGCCGCCTTCTGAATGTCTACTTCAGGCACAATTGAGCTGTCACCTGTGCCTTCCAGATGGGTAGGATTCTCCCCTCCATGGCTTAAAGGCCAGAGGGGCTGTTTATCCTTTGGTGGCCCATCCAGTCAGCTTCTGGAAGCCCAGGCCGCAGCCACAGGCAGGGGATGCTCCCTCTCAGAACCACATTCCTGTGGGTTGAGCGCTGGCTGTGTACAAAGCACTCTTGTAGGCACAGTGGGAACCACAGTAATACACAGGATACTCTTCCTACTCTCCCAGGGCAGTGGCTTCCAAACCATGTTCTGTTCCATGCAAAAGCTGAACTGAGGCAGGGATGTTGTGGGAGGGGCTCCCAGTCCACTCACGCCTTAACCACAGCTGCAATATTTGATCAAGATATTTGGAGAAGAAAATTCTACGCTGGAAAGAGGAAATACTGAAAACCTTTGGAGTCAGAGTAGTTTCATTTGCTCCTGGAAGGAGGCAGCACAGGGCAGAATAATGTCCTAGGTTCCAGCAACAGGGGAACCTGGGATTACATCCCAGTGCTGCTGGGTCACAAGACACCTAACTCCCTCAATCTCAGGTGTGCCATCTATCAAGCGTGGATTATACTAGCAGTTACTATGCAGATTTCAGAGATTGAACAATATCTGCATGGCTTTTCGCAGATTGTGTAACATCTAATGGTAAATACTCAATAAATGTTAGCTGATTTTACCACTATGACTGTTAGACATTAAATAATTTTATTCATGAATAACTTATTAAGATACTAACTCAAGTATCTGGAGCGCTCCATCAGTCTCCCCAGAGTAATCTCCAATGTGCACCACAGGCAAACATGCTGTCCCCAATGTGGGCATTTATAAAAGCAGCGTCTGAAGCTGTGTGGATGTGCACACACACATGCTCACAGAGGTGAAGGGAATCTCTAACTCAGCAGGAAAGCTATCACTGAGTGCTGGATGTAGGCACAGACCATGAGTAAACAGGGATTTGGGAAAGAGGAATGCATCACATAAACAATTTTCACAATGAGCAATGAAAGCCCAGATGCTTCCTGCGTGAAAGGGTGAACTCAAAAAGAGAATCATAGGGTGAACCGAAGTGAACGCTGAGACTATCCATCCTGCTGGCCCAATTCCTGTATGTCTGTGTGTTCTCCGCCTGTGCTTTTATTCAGGTGATCCCTAGAGTAAATAGCAACAGTGCACACACAAATGCACGGACACAGGGGGTCAGGTGAAATTACATATCTGAGATATTTGGGAGAAAGAGTGAGAAGCCTAGAAAAGATAGCAGTTACCTTTGGCATTTCCTGATCTCCAAGAAAACAAGCAATACAAGTTTCTTTTTAATCAGTAGTTTTTACTAAGTCAAGAGTTGCCATAACGTGAATTTATTTTAAGAATTATATTTGACTGAAGGAATTGTGTCAAAGGGTCTGTCTTTGAGGTTCCTTCCAAAGGAGAACTATTTCGTGCATTCACCGAAACAGCCATTGACTCACCTACATTTCTTGGGGGCTTTCAATGAGCCAGGTTCCTTGCTAGAAGCAAACTAGGTAGATGCTTTATCTTTCAGAGAAAGATACAGAAGAGATGGCTGTTAACCTCAAGAGCTCTGCAAAATGGATTTGGGGAGGGAACCCCAAATCCACAGACAAGTGATTAAAATACAATGGGATAAAATTGGTGATGCACTATACCTACAGGAGATATGGCCGCAAGAAGGAAAGGCACCTTCACAAGAAAGGTATCAGCAGTGGCTTCCACAAAGAGACAATACCTAAGGAGCTTCTTAAAGAATGAGTACTTAGGAGATGGGAAAGAAGGAGAACCAGGGCAATCCAAGCAGAGGGGAAGGTATGAGCAAAGGCATTTAGGCAAGAAAGAGCACTCTGTGTGCAGGGACCTACGAAGAGCTCCTTGTCCCTGGAGGTAAATGAGAGCCTAGAAGTGTGTCAGATTAAGGAGCTTAAAGCATAGACTCTGGAAAGGGTTTTGAGCTTGATCTTGGATATGTTGGGTTTGAGGTATCTGTGGAGCATCCAGGCGGGGACATTGAAAATACAATAGTATATAGAAGCTGGAGTTCAAGGAAGAAATGGAAGATATAGGTTGGGTAGATGTCAGCATGAAGGTGGGAGCTAAAGCACAAGGCTAGACGTGACTAGCCAGGGTAAAATGTGGAAAAAGAACAGTGAACCAAATGAACATTTGATGGAATAGTAGAGAGAAGACCTTATTGAGAATATGGTGTCATGGGCTCCAAAGGGAAGAAGGAGTGGTCTATAATGTTTTTTCTTAATGAAATCAGTAGATTCACACTGAACAGTCTCCATTAGACTTGGCAGGTATGGACTTCAATAAGACCATATACAACAGAGTGGCAGGGCAGAAGGCAGAGGGGAGTAAGCCAAGGGGTGGTTGGGTTGTGAGGATGTTGACACAGCAAGAAGCGAATGCTGTTGGGAAAATCTGGAAGAGAGATTCAACAGGAACTTGAACAGGATGCAGGGTCAAGAGAAGTTCACCTATTTTTAGTGTGAGAGAATTGATTCTTGTTTGTGGACTAAAAGGAAGGAGGCATCTTGGAGACAGATTGAAGCTCCAGGGAAGAGGGAGAAACTGATAGAGTGCCATCCCAGAGGACTCTGCGCAAGTTCAGGTGCACAGGTGGAGGCACTGGCCTTCAGGGGAGTGTCTGAGTCAGAGACTGGAGCTAAGAAGGCTGGATGAGACTTTCTTCCTATAAAAAGAGACATTTCTCGGGAAGGGTTTAAGCTTCTGAGAAGTATACTATTTGAAAGGAGATTATCTCACTTTCATGGACTCAAAACTCTTCATAATGAAACAGAGTCAAACAAGAATCACACTTCAAGGAATCAAGGCTTAGTGTAAGCTTACAAATGATTTCCTGTAGCAGCAATCAACTTGCCCAGATTCTGAGGGTATGAGCCATGTGATTCCAGATGGGATAGATAACAAGAAAAGGAGAGAGGGGCTGGTTTCCAGGGGCTAAGGATAATTTATGCAGAGAGAAATGTTCATTCATACATATTTGGGATTACATTTGATTGAACCCATACTGGTAATGAAAAGTGCTACTATGTCCCAGCTATATATTTAGATAAAGATATAAATCAATCTAATATCAATTTTTTTCCTCAAGAAGTATATAAATCAGTATATTTTGAGGGTAAGTAGCAAAACCAAGCCAAGATTTGAAAAATTACACTTACTATCACCACTTCCAAGCTAGTTTTACTATAGAATCTTTTAAAAGTGTGTTCTTGTTTTAGCTTGCTTTTCATTTTTTCAACAAATACGACAGGGAAGTATATGAGGTACAGTAGTAAAATAAAAATATAGTTCTGTCTCTCAATAAGCCTATACTTGGGAGACGAGTATCCCAGGTACCTACAAGGGCTAAAAATGCTGTGGCAGTTTGGGGAGTGAACACCTTAGGTCCAGGGGACTTAAGGAAAACATCTTTACTAAACAGACAAGCATTCGGTTGGGTCTTTGTTAGTAGGTGTATTATCAGTAGATGGAGTTGGAAGTGGTGGGTCTTCCTGGCTTTTTCAGGGAACACAAGCCATCTGTTTTGGCTGGAAAACAGAGGAAGGTGTAAACCTCGGAAAGGGCTAGAGCAGAGCGTAGAGGGTGTGAACTTCCAGTTTGAGCAGCTGGATGAAATTCGGGAAGGAGGTGGTGGAGACGAGAGAGAGGATATGAGCTGTTTTTTAGGAATCCTTAAAGGGATCAATCTCTCCTCTGCCATATTTCTGTCTTAGTGATGACGTGGGAGAAAAAAATGAAATGAGCTTGAGTTTCCACTGCCCACTCTGCCGTCAAGGAAGATACTATTCTTTCCTAAGGAGAAGTGGAAATCCTCTGTTTATTTAAGGGCCGATAACCTGTTTTCTCAGTAAAATACCGACCGATCTGCAGTGATTCCTGATGTACTCATCTAAATAAAAGGAAGCTGTTGCCTTGCAAATTGAGTCACAAACGAAAAATATTTTGGGAGTGCCATAGAAACAAATGCACTATCTTCCCAAAATAATGGAAAGTGAATTTTATAGCATCTGTTTGTAAGAGAACAAACATTATTCTTCCCAAATGCTCTATCTAGAATATAGAGATATTAAGACAGAGATATAGAGATAGAGATACTGAAAGAGAGAAGGGAAATATTCAAATACTGTAGGGAGGGG